TGTGCTGTCACACATGCGGGTTCAGACCCCTGTGGGGCAAAGCGTGGGCTGGGGTCCCCATACCTGCGGGGTGAGGAGGGAGACCGGGGGACAGTGTTTTAGCGGAAGGCTGCACACAGCAGGTCCTGCCAGGCTCCTGTCCTTGCCCTTGGGTCTCTTTGCTGGTGGCTCCTGGAGCGCTGTGAGCCAGGGCTGGCACTGTGCAGATGTGCAAAACACAGCAAAACTGAGCTTCCTCACTCAAGAAACTCGTGGTCAAAATGAACAGTGGCACCAGGGTGCAGATCTCATTTTGAGCCTTTTTTTTTTTTTTTAACGGATGTCTGCTGTGCTGTGGGGCTGGTGATTGCTTGGTGTGGATGATTCTCGAGAAAATTTGAGCAAGATTGATTTTATCAGAGGTTTACAGCCCTAGTGCCTCGACTGGCCAAGAGCATATGTTGATTTGCCTCCCGTTGCCTAAAAAATACGGTGGGAAGTTAGAGAAGCTGTGTGACAATGCCTATGCTTGCAGCAGCACTGCAATTAGAGGCCGCTTGCGTCTCAAGTGCCTCAACAGTAGAGTCCTCTTCTGAGGATGACATTTTTCTCCAGATATCCCAAAAAGCCTGTTTTTGACAGCTCTGGTTGCAACACTCCAGCAGATAAACGCATGATTGTGTGTACAAACTGCTGGCAGGACGAGGGGGCTCGGGGAGGGCTCTGGCATGAATGGGCTCTGCCTGGGAGGGTTTTGTGGCCAGTCTGGCTCTGCCCGACACAGAGGAGGGCTTGTACTTGCTGTTTTCGTAGCACAGCCTGGCCAGCTTGCCACCATCTCTTGCTCTGCCCATTTTTCTGCAGTGTCTGTGCAATATTTCCACATCGGTTTTTAGCCCCTCCCCACTCTTCGAGTCCGTGTCCTGTCATTCTCTTCGGACAGTACCTGAATTATTTTGAATATTTTCTCTTCAATCAGAGATTTTCCTGAGTCATACCTAAATGTTAATAAAAGCCTAATGGTTTATGTTAAGGAAGGCGAGAGATAAAACTAGAGCCCTTTTATCACAGGCTTTAATGGCCTGAAAATGTCAGTTGCGTGGGAGCAACTGCCAAATTTTGAGCCTATGAAGGCAATGGCTAAGTCCCACAAATCAACAAGTTTGGAGCGGATTATCGGATGCTGGCTGTGTCATTTTCCCAGGACTCCAGGCATGCTGGAAGCCAACACTTTAATCCGCTCTGATATGATGCATGAAAGGGGCTGGGCGCCCTCCCCGCTTGCTGCTGCCCTGCGAAGCCGTCGGACCCACCAAGGCAGGAGAGCCTTCCCGAAAGCAGAAGCTGCAGGGCTCTCTTCTGAGCTGCAGCCTGCTTTGGATTCAGAAATAAACTCCATTTCTGCTTGGGAGCTATTTTTAAGGTCACAAACACAGGATGCAGAAATCAGTGCGTTCCGTGGTTTTCCTGAGTGCTGCCTCACCACTCCTCTTCCTCCTTCTGTTTCCAGCAGACTTCCTTCCCGAGGGGACATCCTGCACGCCTGCCCCCGGGGCGCTGGGGAGCTGTAATGGAAATTCTGGGAGATGGCTTGTCCTGCTCCTTTTAGGCCTGGGATAAAGGACTGAACTCACACCATGAGAACAGCTGAGCTCTTGAGCTCTGATGGGGCCGGAAATCTTTTCCTTCCACCGCATTTTGGTTTTGCAGTCGGGCTCGGGGTGTTAATCTGACTCACCCTCCTCTAGATATGGCTCCTTGGTTTGAATTAATTTGCATCCCTCATGAAATTTTGCAGACGCACCGAGCTCGCCCTCCTTGCGGGCACAAGGGGTGTCAGGGGTGCTGCTCAGTGGGGCTGCCCGTGGGTTGTCCTGCACCCAGCGTGGCTCTTTGCTAGTGTCAGAGTGGCAGAGTCAAACGTCCTGGGTGCAGAAGGATTCCATGACTCGCCCAATATTTCCATGAGTTACTCAGTATGCAGAGCGTGTAGCAGAAAAATAGTGGCAATAGAGTAAATGCCCACGGGGTTGTTTTGCAATGCAGACGATAGAATGAGATTGGTTTTGAAAGAAAAATTAACCTTTATGCTTTCCCCACTTCAGGGTAGGGCAGTTTGATTTAAGATGGAGCGAGGTTTAACCCATTCTGCGTGGAGAAAGCGTTTTAGCCCATCCTTTAAGTGCTATTTCCCAAGCTGCAGTGGCTGCCTGGTGCCTGCAGAAGGATGTGCCTCGGCTGCATCCTGTTTACTGTGAGGTGACAGAGTAAAGATGTCCCCGCGGAGTGGTGCTGGATGGGACCTGAGAGGGAAACACCACGTGTCTGCTCCAGCCCGTCCGTCCGTCAAAAAGATGTCATGTGAGGAAAGGTGTTTCGGAGGAAGGATGTGTGCGGCCAAAACAAAGCTTGGCTGGTGTTAGAGTGGTTACATCCTGTTTACTGTGGAAAACACTTTGTGCTGATGTTTGTTAGCTCTGAAACATGTGATTTATAAGCAGGCAGGCACAGCAGATAAGGAACTTTCTGTGATTTGGGCCACCTGCGAGAGGGAAGGCAGGCAGGCAGGAAGGAGTCTTGTCAGCTTCAGGTGGTTGGTTGGTGTTGTGAAAGAATAATGAGGAGGGGCTAGAGGTAACCATCCCCCAGACAAATAAATAAACCCACGTGCTTTTCTGAAGAGCTGGCTGTGAACCCTTAAATCAGAAACCCAAATGGCTTGGCCTGTCCCCTGTATGGCATAAAAAAGTTGTTTTGCCCAGTTACTGGGGGAAATGTACACCCTTAAGAATTTGGGCCGTGATTCTGGTTTGTTTGTTTTTTTTAATAGAGCAAAATGCATTTAGCAAAGTCACCTGCATCCACAAAACTTGATCCTTTCATCTCGGTCCCAAGTGGACTGAGCTGCAGCTCCAAGTGAGTTGCCTGCTGCCTGGCACTCCCTTCGGCAGAGGCACCTTTTCAAATCAGTCTGTGTCACTTCACGCCCGGCACGATGGGCAGCAGCAGCAGCAGACGTGGGGACAGAGACTGGGGAGGGGTTTGTGGAGGGACCCGTCCGGGGAGCTGGTGCTGTGGTGTGGCACCAGCCCAGGGCGTGTGGGGGTGGCCGGGCGCAAGGTGGGGGTTCACCCCGCGCTGGGTCGCGGCAGAGCGCAGTCCTGCCCACGTCTCACGCTGTCGCTGCTGAAGCCCGAAGATTTGCCTAGTCTTCTGAAGTGTCTGAGTAGAAAGGAGAGCTGAAGATTTAGTCTGGTTTCATTAATGAAATAATAGAGATAATAAGGGAATTAAAATACAGGTCCTGGCGCACTCAGCCCAGGGGGAGGGACTGTGCTAGGCAGGCTGGCTGTCAACATCTCCTGCCCACTGTAAGCACATGGTCCAGTTTCTTAACAGGCACAGCTCCAAATCCTGCATTTTTTTCTGCCTAAATTAACACTCCTGACAATTATTTTGGAAGCAATATCCATGTTATGGCTGAGTTCAATAAGGTGTAAAATGTGCTTAGTTTTAGGGGTGTGGGTTGCATCAGGGCAGCCGGCAAACCCGGCGGCTGGCGGCACATCAGCCCTGCACCCGCCTGCCCGTGCCCGGGAAGGGCGACAGCCCGGCAGTGGCTTCTCTTAAGATGAGCCTGGAACGACACTGTAGATGATGTGGTAATGGCCCTTGAAACATGCCCATCATTTGAACGGCTACGGCTGCACCCGCGACACTTCATAAAGGCTGCTGCGGGAGTGACAGCAGGGAGATTGTCACAGCGAGACTGTTGTGTTCAGACGTCGTTGAATCCATCCACACCGAGCAGGAATTATAAGGAGAGTCTCAGAGGATTCAGGATGAGAGTGGGTCGTAAATCTTGGGTGTGTCTCGGCAGGGTAGGAGGAATATGAGGCATCAGTCCTGTTTTCAAATGCTGCTGTCATGCAGCAACTGTGCTAATTAATTTAGCACAGCATAGTGAAGTCTGTTGTCTTGCTTTGGGCCACACGAGCCAAATGTCTGCTCTCAGACAAGGCTGACGGATGAGGAGTCCTTAACACTTGTCCTCTGCCTTTGCCCGTTGGCACCTAGTGGTGAATCGATGTGGGAGCGTTGGCAGGGGCCTTGTGCCCTGGCTCACCAGCCACTGTGCCACGGCCACTCCAGCTGCAGCGCCTGCGTTTAACATTTCTGGAGCAAAGGCAGGTCCTGCTCCCCCAGAGCTTCAAGGAGCAGCTCGAAAGCAGAAGCCGGAGACAAATAACGAACATCCTGTGGTCACGGGCGTGGGACGCAGCTGTACTTGCTCCCTGGGGCTCGCTGAGCGGCTGTGGCTGGACGGGGCCAGTGCCTCCAGCATTTCTGGGCAGTTTCGCAGCTGTTGCCCTTCGCCCCATGTCCTGCAGCACCCTGCCTCCTGCTCGGCAGCTCCTTCAGGCCAGCCCAGGGGCAGAAAAACAGTGCAAATTTCGCGGGTGACTGCAGTAGCTACAAGACAAGAGCCAGGATTTACAGTCCTGAGAGTCTCCAGCAAGCTCCCCAAACCCCACCTTGGCTCTGCTCTCAGTCACTTCCTCACTTACGTGCAGGGAAATAACATTTTGAATTCTTTGGGAGAAACTTCTTGCTTTGCCTTTTGTTTGAGAAGGAAGGAGTTGGAGGTGGCTGCTGGGCTTGCAGCCGCCCTGGCTGAGCACTGCTCTGCGCGTTCCCGAGCGCGGATCAGAGCGCTGATCCGAGCCCCTGGGGAGGCCTCATCTTTCACAGGTTTTTGGCACAGCCAAAATCTCTTATGGGGGCACCCAGAATCTTCAAATGCAGCAGTGTGTCCCCTGGCCCAGGGGGGGGTGGTGAGGACCCGCCGGTGTGGGCTGTGGCGCTGACC